CAATCCTCCTACTTCAGTCTCCTGAGTAGCTGGGACTACAGACATGCACCACCATTCCTGGCTACTTTTTTTTTAAATTTTATTTTGTGTAGGGACAGGGTTTCACCATATCACCCAGGCTGGTCTTGAACTTCTGGACTCAAATGATCACCCATTTTGACCTTTCAGGGTACTGGAATTACAGGCGTGAGCCATTGCACCCTGCCTGGCAATTTCTTATAAAGCTGAACATAATCTTGTACAACCCAGCAATTCTGCTCCTGGGTATTTACACTCAACCAATTTGAAAAATCATGTCCACACAAAAACCTGCATGTGAATGTCTACAGAGCTTTATTCATAACCAGCAACAACGGGCAGCAACCAAGATGTCCTTCAATAGGTGAATGGATAAAGAAACTGTAGGAACATCCATACAATAAACTATTATTCAGAGTTAAGAAAAAATGAATTGTTCAACTACAGAGAGAAATGGAGGAACCCTGAATGCATATTGCTAAGTGAAAGAAGTCAATCTAAAAAGACTATATACTGCCTGATTCCAACGACATGACATTCTAGAAAAAGCAAAAATGTAGGGACACTAAAAAGATCAGTGTTTACTGATCAAGGAAATAAGAGGACACAAACAGATGGAAAAACATTCCATGCTCATGGTTAGGAAGAATTAATACTGTGAAAATGGCCATACTGCCCAAAGTAATGTATAGATTCAATGTTATCCCCATCAAGCTACCATTGACCTTCTTCACAGAACTGGAAAAAAACCACTTTAAACTTCATATGGAACCAAAAGAGAGCCCGCATAGCCAGGACAATCCTAAGCAAAAAGAACAAAGCTGGAGGCAAAATGCTACCTGACTTCAAACTATATTACAAGGCTACAGTAATCAAACAGCATGGTACTGATACCAAAACAGAGATATAGACCAATGGAACAGAACAGAGGCCTCGGAATCAACACCACACATCTACAACCATCTGATTTTTGACAAACCTCACAAAGACAAGCAATGGGGAAAAGATTCCCTGTTTAATAAATGGTGTTGGGAAAACTGGCTAGCCACATGCAGGAAGCTGAAACTGGACCCATTCCTTACACCTTATACAAAAATTAACTCCAGATGGATTAAAGATTTAAACGTAAGAACTAACACCTTAAAAACCCTAGAAGAATATCTAGGCACCACCATTCAGGACATAGGCACAGGCAAGGACTTCATGACTAAAACACCAAAAGCAATGGCAACAAAAGCCAAAATAGACAAATAGGACCTAATTAAACTTAAGAGCGTCTACACAGCAAAAGAAACAATCATTAGAGTAAATCGGCAACCAACAGAATGGTAATAAATTTTCACAATCTACCCATCAGACAAAGGGCTACTATCCAGAATCTATAAAGAACTAAAGCAGATTCACAAGAAAGAAACAAACAAACCCATTCAAAAGTGGGCAAAGGATATGAAAAGACACTTTTCAAAAGAAGACAAATATGCGGGCCACAAACATATGAAAAAATGCTCATCATCACTGGTCATTGGAGAAATGCAAATCAAAACCACATTGAGATACTATCTCACGCCACATAGAATGGTGATCACTAAAAAATCTGGAGACAACAGATGCTGGAGAGGATGTAGAGAAAAAGGAACACTTTTACACTGTTGGTGGGAGTGTAAATTAGTTCAACCATTATGGAAGACAGTGTGGCGATTCGTCAAGGATCTAGAAATAGAAATTCCATTTGACCCAGCAATCCCATTACTGGGTATATACCCAAAGGATTATAAATCATTCTATCATAAAGACACATGCACACGTATGTTCATTATGGTGCTGTTTACGATAGCAAAGACCTGGAACCAACCCAAATGCCCATCGATGAGAGACTGGACAAAAAAAAATGTGGCACATATACACCATGGAATACTCTGCAGCCATAAAAAACGGTGAGTTCGTGTCCTTTTTACCTAGAAGCTATGATTCTCAGCAAACTGACACAAGAACAGAAAACCAAACACTGCATGTTTTCACTCATAGGCGGGTGATGAACAATGAGCACACTTGGGCACAGGGAAGGGAACAACACTCACAAGGATAGAGGGGAGGGGAGGGGAGGAGAGGGGNGGGGGGGCGCGGCAAAGTGGATGGGGAGGGATAACACTGGGAGAAATGCCTGACCTAGGCAACGGGGCAGGGGGGCAGGGATGGAGACAGCAAACCACTATGGCGTGTATGTACCTATGCAACAATCCTGCAGGATGCAGGACATGCACATGTACCCCAGAGCCCAAATACAATTTAAAAAAAAAGATCAGTGGTTAACAGAGGCTCAGGGGAAGAAGAGGGAGGGATAAATACATGAAGCACAGGGATTCTTATGGCTATGAAACTATTCTATATGATAATACAATTGTGGATACATAACATTATGGATCCATCAAAACTCACTGAACTTCCAAAAACAAAAAGTGATCCTTAATGTATATACATTTTTAAAAACCATTTGGGAGGTCAGAGGAATACCAAAATAGCATATAGAATGTGACAAAACAATCTAAGTTGATTACAAATTTATGAAACAATCTCACTGAAGGAGATGGGGGCAAAGGTGCTGACCTAAGTAACTTTGAAAATGAGTAGAGACTGTGAAATTAATGGCAGCAAAGGAACAACCAACAAAGCTACATAATCACCGTGCTCTAGTTGATAAAGTTGTTTCTTGTGGGGGAATGGGTTAACAATTCTGAAGCCACTTTATATGTATACCGGAATTAAACAATTCAAGTAAGAAGAAGAGAGCAGGTGGTGGGAGTCACGTTTCTCAGTTGGAGTAGAAGTTTACAGATATGCAAAGGAAGATGTTAGAATAATCTATGTGGTAGCAGACTGAACATCAATATGAACTCGTTTCGTTTAATGGAAATACAGATGGTACATATTTACACTTAGGCATAAATGCATAGGTTGGTATGCACACATGTATTTCCTTAATCTGTCTGCTGAAAAGGCCTAGAGGCAATGAAACATCAGTAGCAAAAAGCAAACCTAGTGGCCAGACCTTGGTTTATACCATTCTTCAAGGAACCAGGCTCCTTGGCAAAATGGCTGATTCTAGAACTGGGGAAGGAAATATACAACACAAGCCTGAAACATCTTTGTAGTGCCAGAAAGGAAGTGCTCAAAAGCAAACAAACAACAACAACAAAGAAGAAAACACACAATGACAATGATGGGAATACGTCAAAGGGACACAGGAGTCCAACTGAAAATGCTACCAATGTCTGAAACTGGAACAATTTCAACAAAATATAGTATTAAAGGATAAAGCAAGGTATAAAATGAGTCAAATTCATAAAAATAAGTGAATAAATGGGGGAGAAGAAACATATCTCCCATGCAGAATTCCAATTATGTAGATACTCTATCCTCAAGGAGGTGCAGCATAACATTATCACTCCTTAAGCATGGGCTATGCAGAGTGACTTCCTTTCAAAAAGTACAGTATGGAAAGGGGAAAAAAAGAGTACACTGGGGAAATCTGACAAACACTACCTCAGCCAGGTGATCAAGATTAACATCAATAGAAATAATACATTTATTCTTGATGTGATGAGAATAGCACCTTACCTTAGCGGTCTTCCTCCAAAAACATACACAACTTTATTTCCCTGAAATAAAATTTCAGGGAAAATATCAATATGATTTTAGATTTGGACAAAATGATATGAAAGCTTATTTGAAAAATCATGCAAGAATAACTAGAAAAAAATCCTGAAGAATGAGGTATGGACTAGTTTAATAACCAAAAAATCATCAGACAAATCCCAGTAGAGGAAGATTCTACAAAATACCTGACCAACACTCCTGAAAACTGTCAAGATCATCAAAAACAAGGAGTCTAAGAAACTGTCACAACCAAGAGATGCCAAGACATGACTAAACGTGATGTGGTCCCCTTGATGGAATCCTAGAACACAAAAAGGATACTAGGAAAAACCAACAGAAATCTGAATAAAGTATGGACTTTAGTTAATAAAAATGTACTGATATTGGCTGATTGTGTCAAATGCCTCATGCTAACATATTAATAGGGGAAACTGAGTGTGGGGTATGTGGGAATTCTCTGTACTATCTTCCCATTTTCTCCATAAATCTAAAACAGTTCTAAAAAATATTGTTTAGAAAATACCAGTTTACAAAAATGGTAGACTGTTGAAAAGACCACAGAGACACAATCATCAATGGAATTTGTCAACCTTGATGGGGACAGCTATAAAAGCTATTTGGGGGATACATGGGAAAATATGAATATGAAATATTAGGTGGTTGATCCTTTTTTCACTTGTGAGAATGGAATTGTGGCTAAATGGGAGAATGTCCTTACTCCTATAGGAGGGGCACGCTGACATATTTAGGGATGTCCTGAAGTGTGATGATAAAGTCTGCAACTTAGCTCAAATGAATCAGGAGCGGGGAAAGAAGCACATTTGGAGAGAGCAAAAGCAACAGTGGTAAAATGTTAAAAATGGTGAACCTAAATGAAAAGTATACAGTGTCCATCCTACTATTCCTTCATATTTTCTGTAGACATGAAAATTTTCAAAATAAAATTTCAGCGAAAATATCAGTATGATTTTAGATTTGGACAAAATGATATGAAAGCTTATCTGAAAAAATAAACATGCAAGAATAACTAGAAAAAAATCCTGAAGAAGAATGAGGTATGGACTAGCAATACCCAAGATTAAAATATATAACCATTTAAAATAATTAAAAGACTAGTATTTTTTCAACAGACTACAGAGCCCAGAAGCATATCTGAACAGTATGAATGAGGATGATGGTTTTTCCAATCAGTGTGGAAAGTTAATAAATGGGGTTGGAATACATAGCTATTCAAGGGAGAAAATGTTGAATCCTTTCCTCACTCCTACTACCTAGACAAATTCCAAATGAATCAAAGATTTAAAAGTTGAAAAAAACCTTAAAAGTATTGGAAAAATACATTACATTTATTCTTAAATGCAGAGGCAGCTTTTCTAAGCAAGGCAAAATCTCAGAAGCCGTAAAGACTAAGTTTAACTACATAAATAAAACTTAGGAAAATATTATTAAACATGACAATGGACCAATTTTCTTAGCTTACAGAAAACTCATACAAATCAATAAAAAACATACTACCTAACAGAAAACAGAACATGACTACAGAGTTCACATGAAATATCAGTAACCGATAAACATGAAAATGTGTTCAATCTGCTTCATTAAAATGCAAGATACCATTTATTCACTTTCACATAATCAGACTTCAAAAGTTTAGTACCCAGTATTGGCATGGGTTTGGCAAATAATCTTTGTCATACATTACATGTGGAAGTAAACTGGGCAAAGATTCCTAGAGGACAGTTCGGCAGTAACTACTGAACTGAAAATAAAAAATACCCTCTGATTCAGCAATTCCATTGCTAGGAACCCTGTAGAATATAAACTCATTATATGCACAAGTATATTCATCACAATGTGATTTAATAAAATATTGGAAACAACCTAAAGAGCCTATCAATGTTTGAACGTTTGTAACACATTCAAACATTAGAATACCACACAGTCATTTAAAATAATGAGGTATTTCTATATATACTGACACAGAGTGATCTTATAAAACACAGGTAACAAAAAAAGCAAGGTACAGAAGAATATAGCCTGATTCCATTCATGTGAAATTTTTTTAAGTACATATTTGCTGACAAATAAAAAATTGTTTTACTGTGAGAACGTGCAAGACACTTGAAACTGGTTACTTTTGCAGAGAAATATTAGGGTAGAAGGGAAGGGGCCAAGTTTTTATGCCTTTCTGTACCATCTGATCTTGTTGCCATGTGCGTATATTAGCTTTCTTGCCCCCACTCCCCTAAGAACACTTGATTAGCAGGTTATTTTGAGATATTCCTAGGTAGGTTTGAATATTAGTGGTGTTATTTTTCAAAATACTGTAGATAAGTGCCAAGTTTTGCAATTTAGAATGTCCCCTTGCATTTTCACTAAACTTTATATTTGCTCCCTTGATGCTTTAATCACAATGATTTCCTATTAAGTATAAAGTGACATTTTTAATGGCAGTTTGGCTATATAACAAATTCGTGATAGAATCATTAGACACTGATGCTCAAGAACCCATTTTTATACCCCAAAGGGCATTTGATTTATAAATATCAAGGAGATTATACATTCTTACTATAAAAAACAAAATTGTAGTAAGATTTTACATGCACATTGAATTTAGTAAAACAGCAACACAGTAGAAAAATACAGTCATAAAATTAGCTCTTACATTTTTCTGGGGACAGAAAAGCAGAAGAAATGAGATTTAAAGTCCAAAAAAAACCAAAAAGAACCCAAAAAACACTATCAAAAACGGGTGAGACAATCATTTATTTATTGGACAGGGCAAGGTCATTTAAAGAGAGGAAACATATCCCAAAAACATGTGTTTACCTTGGTGTTACAGGCATTGATGCTCACAACAAACAACATTACTCAAAACATCATGAAAACAGGCCACATACAACCAGGAAGATGCTCTCAAGCCACTGAGAAGCCACAATGCTTAGGAAATAATCATTAGAGAGTTACAGAGCATAATAGTCTCCAAGATTCACTGCTATGCATATTCTGCGGCTGCACAGTATTTGGCTGGTTCCCTGGTTACTGAGTCTTCCTACATTTTAAAGAGCCTTGACTGGTACACACCTCTGAACATTAGTCAAGTGAAGGCTTAACTAGCTCTCATTATCCTATTTTTGAACTATCCTAGGCAATAATTGACTGTCTCATAGTACTGTAAATAAAATTCTGTACTTAATACATTTAGCAATGTTACAATGCCTCCAAATCACCTTTAAGTCCTATGGTACATACTTGAAAAAGACAGCAGAAACTCAGTGGTGTAAATGAAAAAAGAAACGGGGAGCTCACCTGGCCCGAGGTATACAAGCTGCTAGCAAAGATAGACACAACTGAAAACTACTTTGTCAATTATTTGCCAAGTGACTTGGCCTGATTTTTAGCACGACTCTTCCTGACTGTGCAGGCAAAGATTTCAACATCCATTCTAGAGACTAGCCACAATACTATACGTAGTAGTAGATCATGAATGCTTCCTTATGAGGAAAAACTATTAGCATAAGAATCACAGAGAAAAACCTGTTAGGTATGTGGCCCTCCTGCCTGAAATCTATTGATTTCTACCACCCACTCCCTTTCACAGCAATAACAGTTCTCAAGATGAGAATTCACTCCATATAGAAAACCACATTTGGGAAGCCAGTTCCAAAAGACCAAATATTGTATAAACTCCATTTATATGAAATCACCAGAATAGGCAAATCTACAGAGAGAGAAATAGGTTAGTGGTTGCCAGGGGCTAGGGGGTGGGCACTGGGAGAAAATGAGAGGTGACTGCTCAAAGGTGCAGTGTTTCTTTTTGGGGTAACAAAATGTTCTCAAACTGACTGTGGTCACAGTTACACAACTTTGTGAATACACTAAAAACCACTGAATTGTACCCTTAAAATGGGTGAATTGTAAGGTATATGAATTTCATCTCAATAATGTTAGAAACATATTAAGAAAGGAAGACAGCCCCCAAAGAGAAGGAAACAAGAGGCTCTTCCAAACCAAATCATACCTGAGGAAACAGTAGCCAAGTCTGATGGAACGAGCTTGTTTCTTGCATGCTGTTTTCAGTTATTATCACTTTAACCCGATTTCACATTTTAATTCGTTTCTAAATTATTTTAGGTTATCAGATATCTAACTTTGTTCCCATTAAAGAGCAGAATCAGTGCTCAACAGACTGGCTTGGCATAACAAACCAAAACTAAACAACAAGAATAAAAACCCAACGAAAAAATAACCTCATGCTTTGGGGCTATGTGTTACTAGTCAGAAGAGAAGAGCTGAGGCTCATTTCTAGTAGAAAAAAAAATGTCTACAAGTACAATGGCATCTTATGACTTGTGCTTAAAGCACATTTCCTTTTAAAACCCGCATACAGTTATTCCCTTTACACCTATACAATTCAACAAAAGCAATGTTCTCTACAAAGAAATGTTGAGCTTCCTACTGCTCTCTAGCTCCAAGAGCTAGCCAATTTCCTTGAAAGTAAAATTACTGTTTCTAAAAATATCAACTCTGTATCCTCATCCTCACTTTCAGCACCATATAGTGAAGATGGAAAACTCGAAGCCTGCTATAAATCAGAAACTACAAAACAATTTCTTAAATGACCGGATTTTTCTCAAAACATTAGTCCAAATATTGAGAATATATTTGGCCCAAATTCCTTTGAAGTCTGTCTTTAGATTAATGGCAAGTTTCCTTTATTTCGCTTATTCACTAGTTTAGTATGAAATAAACAGATTTTAAATCAGTTAAACCGGCTAATGACAATTTTCCTCAATGATTTTTCTTCTACATAGGCAAGATAATGAAATCACAAAAGGTCTTCAACTAGTCTTCAACTACTCTTACACTATATAACCAATTAGGGAAATTTTTACAGACAAAGGAGAACACAAGTAGCTTTACAGCAAGTTGAGCTTGTTAAATATATTTGTTCTGACAAAGAATTTCTGACACACACATTGCCCACTATACACATAACCTCAGAGAAGTTATGAAACAAGACAGCCAATGGTAGAAGGCATATGGGAGCAGGGTGGGGTAAAAGTCACACATAAATTAAAAACTGGCAAGTACTTCTGAAGCACAGCCACTTTTTAGGGGACACAAGAAAAACTGTTAAATCACCATTTTGGTCTCATTAGGGAAGTCCATTTGTTAAGAACTGAAGGCCATTTTACCATTATTTGTGCTGCAAAATGCAGTAGTCACAGAGTATTTCCAAGAGGATTCCAAACATTGTAGTGCAAAAGAAAAGACATCTAAGAAAATAAATAATCACAAAAAACACCAATAGTTTTCAAGGAAATGTGTTCAAAACAGTGGCTTTTACAAAACATGTGGATTTGTTTTAAATGAAAAAAAAATTCCCTATATGAAATACCAAAGACCCATTTCACATATAACTTATACTGCATTAATGATTGAATTAACAGTATATAAACAAGGGACATGATTTTTCCTAAAGTAGGTCTGAAAAATCAATATAAATACTAATGGGGTGGGGAAGGAGTGTTTTATACCCCAAACTCCGATATTTCAGCTCTGTGTCCTGTCCTATTTATCATAATTTGTAAAAATCTTAACGACGCAGCGATTCAAGTTTTCGTAACTTCAATGATGTGTTAGAGGACAATGCATCTTGATTTGAAGAATTTGCTGTATCCGAAGACCGGAACAGTACTCGACCACGATGATTAAATACGTAAAAGGATGGGTGATTTCTTAACGTATCAAATGTCCTTAAAAGAAAAAAAGCATCAATTTTAGATAAACCTTTATAAAACCCTACTTGAAAATATGCAGACTTCTAACAAATCATCAATTTGCTATGGGTTATATTTTTTAACAAGTATTAACACATGAAATCAGACTGTAAATAATATTCATGCTGTATCTCTTTTCCTGTATAAAGAAAGTAAGAAACCTGGAAAAGCAGCATAAAGCTCTCAAATTTCTTCTTTTTTAAAAAAAATAGTGATGGGGTCTCATTCTGTTGCCCAGGCTGGAGTACAGTGGTGCAATCATAGCTCACTGCAACCTCAAACTCCTGGACTCAAGTGACCCTCCTGTCTCAGCCCCCCAAGTGCTGGCACTACAGCTGTGCACCACCACGCATGGCTAATTTTTTTTTTTAATTTTTGTAGAGACAGGGTCTCCCAATGCTGCCCAGGTGGTCTCAGACTCCTGGGCTCAAGCGATTCCCCTATCTCAGCCTCCCAAAGAGCTGAGATTACAGGTGTGAGCCACAATGCCTGCTTCTAATTTGTTTTTTTTTTTTCAGCCATTCCTTCCAGGATGCCTATGAATTACAACACAAATACTAGCTCAACTTTAATCACCCCTGTAAATCAAACAGTAGCCCATGCCGAATAGTCTTTTTAAAAAAGTAGCACATAGATTACAGCTTTGATTATTCTCATTTGGCTCTCATTATTCAAGCCATATGATCATTTCACAGATCTTTTTCCAAGAATCTTTCAAGCACAACAAAAAATTCCTTTTAGCCCTCTGCACCTGCTATTATCCAAACTCACATATTTTTCTACTACCTACCTAATGACATTGTTTTACTTCTTTCTTTCCTGGCCCCTTGCCTGTGATTTTTGGTAGACTCTTTGTAAGAGCAAGCAGTGATGACACTAAAGTATCCTTTCTACCTTTCCAGTGAGAGATAAAAGAGTACACAAACACCTTGGTGTATGGCCTTTCTGGTTTTTGTTTTTCAATATTATTTTCCTGGAAATGATAGAAGAACTCTTCCTTTGATACAAACACAAATCTCAGTCAGTCCACCTAAACATCCAAGCATACTCCCATACAAAAAAGGAGGCCTAATATCTAACTCTTCAAAATGTACATATTGGGCGAGGCACCATGGCTCACACCTGTAATCCCAGAGTTTTGGGAAGCCCAGTAGGGTGGATCACTTGAGGTCAGAAGTTTGAGACCATCCTGGCCAACATGGTGAAACCCCATCTCTACTAAAAATACAGAAGTTAGCCAGGTATGCTGGCGGGTGCCTTTAATCCCAGCTACCCAGGAGGCTGAGGCAGGAGAATCGCTTGAACTTTGGAGGCGGAGGTTGCAGTGAGGCAAAATCATACCACTGCACTCCAGCCTGGTTGTTAGAGACCCTGTGTCAAAAAATAAATAAAATGTACAGAATGAACTAAAGGTAAAAGAGGGGTATGAGTTTCCTGTAACACATAAGTGTTTTCTCTAAGGAAATATTGTGAAGGGGTATCATGTCCAGGATAAAGAAGGTGGGTGAAGTCCAGAGATGGAACTGAACAAAGCTAAAGGATGATTTTAGGAAAGTAAAAATATGAAAAAGAAAAGCAAACACAGCTCATGAAAATAGTTTAGAAGTAGTCCAAGAGAAAAAAAGAAAGCAGAATAACAAATATACTTTTCATCCAGTAGTAGAAAAGGGCCTGGGAGCAGAGCTTATCTCATAGACTAGGTTCAAGTGAGAGAAGAAACCAAAAACCACTTATTCTTCCAAAGACTAACCCGGGACAAGAGGATAGAAAGAGGATGGTAGGAAGAGAGGGATGGAGGAAGAGAAAAGGGAAAAGGTGGGGAAGGAAGGAAAGGAAGGAGGAAGGTTAACAATTCGGAGGCATTATTTTTCTATAAATCTATTTTCATCCATCTGTCCATCCAACCAACCAATAATTTTAAGCAACATAATTTTTTATTCTACGGTGAATAATCTGGCATTCATGTTCCATTTTTCTTATAATATCAAATGCCACCTTAACGTTTTTACCTCATTATTCATACAAACTGTGTAATCAAAATGCAGAAACAAAACCAACTTTTATGTACCAGAAAATGTACACTTTAAATTATGTGAATACAGCAAACCTCTATGAAATTCAGTATCTATGAAAGGGGAAAGACTTACTTATTTTTCAGTTCTGAAGTAGCATCCATGTCTTTAAACTCCCCTGCAATATGAACTATGCCGTAACAGGTAACTGCAAAGGCCAGAAGTGTCTGAAGAACTATCTGTGAGTATAAAGATTGAGATTACTAAATAACACAAATATTATTATAAACATTTACAATTTTCTCTCCATCTCTTTATCGCCTCTAACAGGTAGTCCTCTCAGGGCCACTATCAGGGAGACAACGCTTGCTTGAAATGACTGCGATTCAGATGCAATACAATCTAAAAATTCTGTGACTTGGCTGCAAAAATACTTCTGATGCTTCAATAAATAAACCTAGCGACATGTTCAAATAAGCAAAATCACTGAGTACCACCGAATGGTACTAAGCCACTTAGAACTCAATTATCAAATATTACCTGCTTCCAAGAGCAACAAAGAATTTTTAAGGTATTATTGTTAAATACCATAGAGTACAGAAAGCATATGTGCATAGTATAAAGCAATTAAAAGACCACGTACCCACCAGCCAGCTGAATAGAACATTCCTAGTACCTTTCAAGTCCCATGTCCCTCTCGGACTGTATCCTTCACCATCCCTCTCAAAGTTAACTATTGTCCTGAATTGCATATTACTGTTTCTTGCTTTTCTTGATAATTTTACCAGCTATTAAATATATACGAATCTCTAAAACATATATTCATTACTTTTGCCCATACCGAACTTTATTTAAATGAACTCGAATGTATTCTTTTGTGTCTAGCTTTCCTCACTCAACATTACGTTTGTGAGATTCATCCATGGTGT